CGCGGCGGAGCTCGCGAGCCGAGGAGAGCTGCACGGTCTCCTGGTCCGAGTGGCTGACAAGCCAGGGATGCATACGCCACCACGCCGAATCTCAACGAGCCGCTATTGTCGTCTTCATTGTAGCCCATTACTTCACGCCAGCCTCGCGTGACGGCATCTGGCTTTCACCACTTTGGCAGTCGGCGGGTTCGCTTGAACCTCGCCAGCGGCCACGTCTGTTGAGCTTGCCTGCAGATGTATCCTTCCTAAACACCCAATTATAATTCTAGTGGGTGTTGCTTTTCCATCCCGAGACCGCACAATAATACAGACCGGTGACCTACCGACCAAGAGCTGACTGAGATTGATTGCTGCCAGCTTCCATCACGGTGACTGTGTCAGCTCCCACTAGGTGCCCGTGCAGGTCCTCGCCAGGGTGACTGTCATCTCCCCCCCCCCCCCCGGTATATGTGTCAGTTCTCAACCAGGCACCAGACAGCCGCTATGTGGCTGTGCCAGCTCCGTTCCATGTGTCCGTCAGCTCGGACTGACCCAGCGCGCCGGCCGGTCAGCGGGCGGCCCGCTGGCAGCTGTGTCCGCTCGCCGTAACAGCCGGGTCAGACTGCCGGGCCGACCAACTCGGGACGGGCGCCGTATCGGCTGGGCCCCGGCCCATCAGCCGAGCCAAGCCTGCCAGCCGCCCATCAAGACGTACCGGCTTGGTCCCGGCCCATCAGCCGAGCCAAGCCTGCCAGCCGGCCCGGTAGCAAAAACACCGTCGGCCTAGAGACAACGGCTCCTCCGGCCGAAGCGGAATGTAAAGCAAGGCGACAAATCGGGCCCGCTGTAACTCGAAGGTGGTTGAAAGTCTCGTCCTGCCTCTTCAGGTGAACAGAGCGCGTCTTCCGAACATCTCGTGAGCGCCTGACAGGCCCTATGAGCGTTATGTAGCGAGATCAAGCACCGGACTGGCAGGGAGTCAAACAGCTACTAACAGCCCAACCGACGAATAACCTTGGAACGTTTGAAACGCCGGCTCCCGATAGCTGACGTGGTAGTCGCTAAGGAAAGTTATCAGTTAGCGCCGGATGTGCAGATTGCTAGCGAATTTCAAGTACTGTGACATTAACCAAGTGTGTGAAATCACATTCAGTTCGGGGCTCCAGGCGATTTAAAATCTGCGGGTAGGCTTAACCAAGTTATCATCGAGACCCCAACTTGCAGCTGAGTTCTTTCACTCAGTAAGCTCTCCCAACCTACGGCATATCCATGAGGAAATTCTAAAAAATGCCAGAGCTGGACAGGCAAAAATCAATATTACGTGAACGGACTTTTACATAACTTTTCTTCCTCTCTCACACAAGGTTTCAACAAACTGTAACCACTCTCAGCAAAACTTCAAAAGTGATGAGAAAAATACTAGTAAAATCTCTGAACACGTCAAAGACAGTACATCTGAGTTATCCCTCAAAATGTTTCAAACGATGGGATAAAGTGGTCAGGAAACCCTGAAAAAACCGGCACATGGGTTATCCTAATTAAAATGATGCCAACTAGGCTTTGTAGACCCCCTCAGCATGGTTGTGTGAAATTATACTTCTGATTGCCTCTGTCTAATGATTTAATATTTTAAGCTGCAAGCAACAATGGTTCTCCGCATAGAGTCTCAACCTGTGGCGGCTGCCGCACGGGAGACAAAGAGTGCAATGCCGCGAGAAGTCGCGCACTTGACGGAGTAACAGACATTGGTCCCAAGGGATACTCAGTAAGTTTACTCAAGCTCTAGCCGCCGATATACGTATGCGATGGTGGTCAACATGCGGACGACGGATGAGCGAGAGGGCGGAATGGTATAGTTGTTGAGGAAGACTTTGTAGACGACACGTACATCAAGCGACGAAGTTCGTGCCGGCAGGTGTTAATGCTGCGCTTGACGGGGCTTCCACCACCCGCATGGGGCAGCACTGTCGTATGGAACAAAGGTTACGAGAGACAGCACCTAGAGCAGTGCGGAATATACATGACAGCGTTTCCCTCGACGTGATGCTCGGGGAATCGTTAGCTCCCTCGGTAACGTGAAAATGTCCTACAAGCCCTTTGGCGGTGCATGGAAGGAAACGGTTCGCCCCCCCCCCCCCCCCCGGGTCTCAAAGTCGACAGACCTCCGCAGCGGGGAAGCGGGCAGCGCGGGCTGGGCGCAGCTGGCCGGCTCGGTGCTGCCGTCACGTCCGCAGGTCGGCGCGCCAGAGCGCGCGATCGCGTGCCGTCCGGCGGTATCAATCAGGCCATCAAGGGCGGGATCTGTGTTCGTGGCGGCTGCTGCGGAAGGCGCCGGGCGAAGGTCGCGGCACTCCTTCACAGGTATCGACAGCCTGGATTATCTGCGCCAGCGGCCGGTCGACGCCGTGGGTAAACGAAACCAAATCATATCCGACGTGGACAATGGACTTCCGGTGCAATCCCAACCCAGCTCTAAGGCGTTCGTAACAGCGCGCGCAAATAACGTGAATCGCTACCAAGAGAAACTGATATCACGACGCTTTCAGCATTTGGGACAAGCGAAAACAAACTGAATAGAAAGAAAACTAAGAGTTGGCACCGACAGCTCTTCGCTTATTTTGGATCCTCTAGTCCGCGTGAGGTGAGGCTTTTAATGAACAACCATTTCGTGCTACAGGGGAATACTGCGGGGCTGATCATGCAGCGTCCATGGCTCACAATCACAGAACGTTCACAAGGCACGGTCGACAACCCCTCAAGAACGGCCAACCTGGCACCAGCGAACCGTTTCGCGCGAGTTGTATACCTACCGCACAAACAAGATTCCCGCGGTCGCGCACGCCTGGCTAAGAATGTCGAAGGCAAGGCCATCTCACGAAATCAGCCCAACCTGCGTAATGGACACAGGCCATGCGCGGTAACTCCGGTAAGGAAGCACGCGAGCCCAAAGCCCATGCAAATCAGTTGAAAATGGTTTATCTGCACCATCTGCACCAATCCCACACCGTATCAAACGATAATGCGTGGTGCGGAAAGTGCAGATGTCCCCATGCGAGGCAGCGAAACGATAGCTTCACGAGCCAAAACATGGCGCTAGACGAATGAGATCAGCAGGTTTCGCCCCGCGACAGGGCCAATCGAACACCAGCCCAGGCGATAGCCCAGTCACGTGTCTGCGACCGCTCCGGAACGTGCTGCGGCGCTTGAGAACCTCAAGCCCGTTCTTCACTGGCCAACAGCGCCCAGTTCCCGGCAAACTGCTCTATATACATCACATGTCAGTGAAGAGCGGTTGAACTAAGTCCAAACCTTGCGGCTATTTTTGAGCAACATAGCGTTCCTGGAACGCCAGTCGCACTCGCGTTAAGAAGCAGACCGATATTTCTCTATTGATTCGACAAAGCGTCTGAACCACGCCGCTATGTACACAAATAGTCCGAGCTCCGAAGGGGCCCAGGCAGCTCTGGTTGGTCTCGGGACCACTACATGGCGCCTCAAGTAACGAATGGCGTGCTTTTGCTTGTGAAGAGCGGGTCTCTCAGTCGGTCGCCACTTGACGCCTATCGCGCATCGGGTTAGAACTGTGTAGAACAAACACTCAAGCTGCTCCGACAGATCCGCCGCCACCCGCACACACGTCACCGACGTCCTGTCGCAAGAAGCATACTCTGGTTCTTGAGGTGTATGATGAGCATCCTCATCCATTAATCCCGCAACTCTGTTAATTTTGTGGGATGTCAAAAGAAAAAGGAACAAATTGTGAGTCTCAGGAATACTTGCTGCTCGCAAATCAGTCCCAGTCCCGGACCACATCACGCTTCACGCGACGCCTTACTTTCTGGGAGTTGTCTCTGATAAGAGTTCTCGACCGAGCTCCCAGTGACGTGTTATCGGACTTTGAGCTCGCTCACAACGGCGTCTTCCGCCGTCGCCGGACGGCACGCCATCGGCGATCACGTGACATCGAGCGGTACCCCGCCCGAGCTCATTTGGCGTCGGCCGGCAGAGCAACGCGCGCCATTTGGCGTCGGCCGGCATTGCCGTTCCCGATCCGATCGGCCGGCCCGCCAGGTGCCGACCGCGGCTCGCCAGCCGACCGCGGCCACCCGTGTCTCCCGGCGCCCGGCGGGGACAGGTGGGGAGCGCGCAGGCGCAGAGGGCACTGTTCACGGCCAGGAGACGGCAGCGTCACAGGAGCGGCACGAGCGCTTGGTCCACGTCACCGGGGATGGCGGAGAGACGGGGTTGCTCGGAGAGATGGGCGGACAGTGTTTGGGTTTTCTGGCGCATCAACTGCAGGGGCATGCGGCATAGCGTCTCCTTTCCTCCCGGGGTAGGGGCAGACAGCCTCTGATGCCGTCCCACTGCAGTGATCAATATACGCCTGCGGCGACACACCTCAGGACCGGTTCCGCAGCTCGAGATGAGGCGTAATGTGTCGGCACGCCGAGGGCCCGAGCCAAGGTGACTCAAGAGGTACCCTTACACTGTCCTTGAATCCGCGGCAAGAGCACGATCGCATCATGCTCACGTCGGCTGCCGGGCAGGCTACAAATGTTCCATCACAGCCGCAGACGACGTGATCTTTTGTAAATTTATTGTACCGACAGGAGCCCGGAATCTGTCACACCCAAGGAGCAAACATTACAGACGCGACACGGCTTCTGTCGCACTCGTTGGCGGTTGGAGAATCTGCTCGAAACTGCCTTCTTCCTGCCGTCCGGTAGTCGAAGTGACCTTAGTGCGTGTCGCCGGGGCCGGCGCTGCAGGTCGCCTGGTCCCTCCGCTTGCGGAGTCCGCTCCCGGGCTCTCAGCTCGCGCCGTGCACGCCGCCCGCCACCGGGCCAGAGGGTGGTTCACCCGTTAGGCGCTGCCGGTCAGCAGAGGAGGACGCGCGCCCCGCGTCCTCCCCTTACGCGGCGATCTCCATCTCCATCTCCTTGTTCTTCTTCTTCTTCTTTTTCTTGGCGCTCTGCTGTCCTCAGTATCGTTCAGGTCCAGCGTGGAGTCGCCATTTCCATTCATCTCGTCCTGGTGCTTGCGCTTTTCTTCTTCTTCGGCGGTTCGTCGACATCCAGTTGAGACGTATCCAGCGTCGTGTCGCCGTTCTCTTCACTCTCCGCCTTGCGCTTCTTCTTCTTTTTCTTTTCTTGTCCAGCTTGGCCTGGACCTCGACGCTCTCCTCCATGGCCTCCTTCATGACGTCGGCATTCTTGCGCGGAATCTCGCCCGTCTCGTAGAACTTGAGCCGCTCCTCCACCTGCTGACGCAGCTTCTCGCCGAACACGGTGTTCGCCGTTTCGGAGAAGCAGTCTATGCGGCTGGCGATGCTGCACTTGTTGGCCAGGTAGCGCGAGATGCGACCCTTGTTCTTAGCGCCGGCGCGGCCGATGAACGTCGAGTGGAAGAGCAGGCCGTACTTGGGCGTGTTGCCGCGCGTCTTGAGCGCGCGGAACAGCGCCTTCTCAGCGCCCAGGATCTGCACGGTCGATGCCGGATACTTGGCCAGGTTCGTGAGTGAGCCGGCGTGCGAGATCAGCCGCGCCGCCACCGTGTCGCCCACCAGCTCGCCCAGGTTGGGGGCCACTGCGCCCATCTTGTCCTTCAGGTAGTTCTGCAGGCTGGTGCGGTACTCAGACAGCGCCACCACGCGCTTGGCGAACATGTCGATGTTGATGAGGTCTAGCGGCGAGATGTCCATGCCCATCGAAGACTTGGACGCGTCGTAAACGGCCTGCGCCTTGGCCGAGTCCATGAGGATCTCCTCCAGCTGGGGCACCACCTCCTCCGTCATCTCCTTGCGGTTGCGCACCACCTGCGTGCAGCGGGCGTACATGTAGTTATTGGGGCAGATCTTGACGAGTTCCGGGAAGTGGTAGGAGTACCACTCGCGGATACGCATCGAGAACGTGTTGATATCCTTATCCAGCTGGTCCAGCAGCGCGATGCTCTGGATGATCATGTTGTCCGACTTGTTGACGTTGAACTTGACCTTGCAGCGAGTAGCTGTGGCCCAAGCCGAGCTGCGCCTTGCCCGACGCCACCCAGGCGTGAAACCCTTCACCATGTTGGGGAAGTGCAGGCGCAGGCCGCGAATGATCTCAGGCACGCGCCCGAGTGCTGGCACTTGACACCCAGGGCTTCGGAGATGGCGGCGCCCAGCTTGGGCTCCGACACGCCCACCGTCACCTTCTTGCGCTTGCTCGGCAGGTTGGTGTCGAGGAACAGTTGCAAGTCCTCCGTCACGATGCCCTCCGAAACGGCGTTCATGTTCTCCAGCGCATTGGCGCCCGTCTTGAACGGCGCGAAGCCCACCAGATGCACGATCGAGTTGAACTTGCTGAGGTCGGTGACGGACGCCTCCACCTCGGGCAAGCATGCCTGTCTCCTCGAACTCCTTGACGGCGAACAGGCCGTAGCCGCGGCGTGCTCGAACAGCACGTTAAGACCGGCCATCCTCTGTGGACATACGGGGCGGGCGGTCAGCGGCGGCGCGACACGCAGCCGCGCACACACACAGCAGCGGCCACCGCGGCAGACACAGGATACCAGCGGGTGCGGGCTCCGACCGACAGCGCACCAGCCACGAGCGCCGGCGCGCCCCGGTGGCGCACCCCGGTGACGCGTCTCTCCGCGGCCCGGCCGGTGCTCGGGTCAACACGGGGCACGGGGGCGGGCGCCGTCATCGCGCCGTTCCGGACGTCGTGCGTCAGCCGTCAGCGCGGCTACCGATGACCTCAGCAGCCGCGGGCGGCGATAATCCGACGGCAGTGCGCTGATCGCGGCCGGCCGCCCGAGCCAGCGACGACGGGACCAGGGCGTGGGCGAGCGTGACGTCAGATGACAAGCGGCGACAGCGCCAAACACGCACAACACGCCGTTCACCGGGACGATTTGGGTTTCAGGCAGGCCGACTGCTTTGTTATAAGGCGCACTCGCTACATACCGCGCAACAGTCCACCAGCCTAGGAGACACACTTTTGTCGAGGATAAGTATATGATAAAGGCTAGGTTTTGACCGCAGTCATTAAAGGCCGTATCTGCTGGCACCACGTGCACAGCTTTGAAGTGTCATTAATACACCTGCCCAACGCGAGCCACGATGCAGTCGGGCGGATGCAGATCGCGGCGCTGCCTGCTCTCTCGCATCTGGCCACGACAAGAACCGTCCAGATGACAAATGATCGGAACATACGTAATACGATTGATGGGCGCGGTTTTATGCGGTTGTTTTGCTAACCCACCGCTCTGCCGAATGAACGTGAAACCCCAAAACTGGGTGACAGCCGCCCGCCAGCGCCACTGGCGCCCCTGCGCTCCCAGTAACGGCGCGCCGTCCGTTCCAGACGGCACGGCATGCGGCTCTCCGTCTGGCTGGCGTTCGCGGTCGCCCTCGTCACATTCCAAAGGTAAGCCGCTGCATGAGCCAGCCGTGCTCGTCCTCCCGCGAGCAACCGTTCCTTCCAGCGGTCACCAGCCGACACGGGCCGACATCCCCTGTGACCGGCTGCTCTGCTCCACCGCCGGCCGCGCCGCCCGTCCCTTCCCGCAGTCACCGGCCGACACGGGCCGGCATCCCCAGCGTGTCCGCCTGCGACCGGCTATTCTGCTCCACCGCCGGCCGCGCCGTCCGTCTTGGTCACCACCACCCCATCCCCAGCGTGTCCGCCTGCGACCGGCTATTCTGCTCCACCGCCGGCCGCGCCGTCCGTCCCTCCAACGGTCACCAGCCGACACAGGCCGGCATCCCCAGCGTGTCCGCCTGTGACCGGCTGTTCCGCTCCACCGCCGGCCGCGCCGGCCGTCCCATCCCGCCGTCATCGGCCGACACGGGCCGGCATCCCCAGCGTGTCCGCCTGTGACCGGCTGTTCCGCTCCACCGCCGGCCGCGCCGTTCGTCCCATCCTGCCGTCACCGGCCGACACGGGCCGGCATCCCCAGCGTGTCCGCCTGTGACCGGCTGTTCCGCTCCACCGCCGGCCGCGCCGTCCGTCTGTCACTGATCGAGATCTCGTTGGCCGGCCGGCGGCGGTGACGAGCTGTCGGCTGCGGCGGCACGCCCGACCTGCAGCGGCCGGCATGTGGCGCCGCCCCGGCCGCGCGATGGACGCAGCCTCCTACGGGCGGCGGCACGTGTGCTGCGGCTCACCAGCGACCGCGGCGCGGCCCGACCTGCGGTTAAGCCGCGACAGCACATTGGACCGACTGTCGGCTGCGCCCACTGTAGCAACGCCCTGCCCAAAGTTGCACTCGAGCAGAGGTGACCCTGGCGCTCCCGTGCGAAAATGACACCGCGACCGGCTGTATCAGCTGCACCGGCGTCGCAGTGCACCCCTCACAGGAGGTGCCCTCCACCCTCCTCATGCACCCTCAGCCATGTCTCGCTCCCTGTGTCCTCGTCACAGCAGTGATAACCCATGCGAGGACGAGCCGTCAGCTAAGCCCTCTGATAGCGGTGTGCACGGCACTAGCATTGATCACCCTGTATCACGATGACCTCTTGGCTTAAGCACCTGTCGGCCGTGTCCCCCCGCCTCAGCCGTAATGGCCCCGGTGACGTCTGTTTCAAGGTAACCAAGTCCAGCCCATCCAGGTGGCAACCTTTCCAGGGCGGTCCCATGCGGTTGACTTCGGTGACAATTTTTCCGAAGCGAGTGCGCTCGGCTGAATTGGGTAACACCCCGTGCAGGGTGAACCCACTCAGCTGACTGCCGTGCCGCTCGTTCCGCGGCAGCTCAGTTAACACCGGCGACATCGGTTCCAGGGCGGCCCCGCTCAGCTGCGCCCCCTGTCGCCCGGAGCAATGCAAGCTGCGCAGCCCAGATGCAAGTACGGCGTGGTTAGGGACACGTGCTCCTGCTGCGTCACTTGCGGCAAGGTGAGCTGAGCCCTGCACGACCCGAACCAGCGCTCGTCAGTTATCTCGCCTGATGGCCGTCGGGCCGCGGCGGATGTGCCCTGGTAACCAGACGCTCCGCCGCCCGAGGACGAGCGCAGAGGCCGGCCGCGATGCAATGCTGAGCATCCGAAGAGTGACGCCTGCTCGTAGCTTACGCTATTGCGAAAGTAACAACAACATTTGTCCGAATTCAGTGCCCGTTGCCTATGTGGTATGTAAGATGACGCAGGCAGCGCGCGCCATACAAAATGCCTCGCCCAGACCATGCCGTGGCGCCATTCCTAACGCCAACGGCCATGGCACTTCATCACGTGACATCAGAGACAATCAATCAAAATCCGCCCTCTGATCGCTGCTGAGCCGACCTTGGCCAGCACGTCAGGCCGGCCGGCTGCATGGCGCGGCGCCCGACACAGCGCCCCCTGTGTGCTGTGTTGCAGGGTCCCGGACAGCTGTGCGGCGGGCCGTGGGACTCGGCCGGCCGCTGTGGCCACCACCTGTACTGCAAGAAGAGGCCGCACCACCGCGAGCCGTACGCCGAGTTCAACGCGCTCGGCAAGTGCCGGCGGCCGCAGGCGGCGCGCCAGCTGCCGCGCGACGACGACGTCGTCTTCCCGGACGCCGAGCACGTGCAGCAAGACGAGATGGAGCGGGCGGCGCGGCACGAGGCGGGCGCGCTCAGTCTCATCAGCCCGCTCCCGGCCGCCTAGACGGGCCCTTCGGCCGGACAGAGCGAGACTGAGGCTGGCGGGCCGCCTAGACCGGCCTGATAAGCCGACTCCTGGCCGTCTAGGGCGCCGCCACCCATCTGATCGGCCTGCACTCGGTCACCTAAAACGGCGCCGTCCGCCTGGTCGGTCCCCTTGTCGTCTCCACACGGTTTCACTGCCTGCTCCTATTCCTCCTCCCCCATGAAGCCTCTTCGCAACACCACCGCGTGTCGTCGGCTTCTCTAGTGCTGGTCGACTACTGCCACACACCACACTGCCAGCCGAGGCAGACTGCTGCGGCACGCCAGCGAACCGAAGCTGGCACGCCTTCATAGAGCCGCCGACTCTCCGATACAGACAGGCGTGAGCGGCGCGTGAATGAAACCAGGGCAGTTGTTTGGTTGCCGCGTGCAGCGCACTGCGCGGTTTAATGACTTAGATCCTGTCACTGCGCATCCCACGAAACTTCCCCGTTCCGCGCTGATGGGAACGACGAGTTTGACAGCAGCCGAATACGCAGCAGACTTCAACGTTCCTTACAAACAGAACGTCATGTGGGGCTGGTACAGGCCTGTCGCGCATGATGACATTCTGACAAGAATAAAGTGACAGACATTACGTCGAGCTTGTTCGTGGAGTGTGCTCAAAACTAAGCGCAAGCGCACATCCATTTCGCTTAAGTAAACCTTATCTGCTCACGTCACTAAGCATGCAACCTTCTACGCGATAACACGATCAATCCGGCACGTGCCAATCCTCCAAACGACGTCTTTGTCGTAAGGTTTGTCGTTGCATTCCAGGTCTCGAAGAGCACCGACGATGGATGCAGGCCATGACAATGTCCAATAAAGCTCTTACCACTCAGAATCTAATGGAAATGTTTGCACTGTTCGGAAGCGGGAGTTCGGAAGCGAGAGTAACCAACAGGCTGCTTGCATGCTGTTGATCCGCGTTCGAGTCTCAACAGCCGCGACACGCACTCAGTTGTGTCGACGATTGCTTTGGACGACTCCGGCGCTGCTCGAGCCCACTCGCAACTGACAACCGGCCGCGGGCGCTCGGCCGCGACACGGCGCGTCAATGTCGACTGGCAGCAGGCTCGGATCGCGCCGACGTGGCGCCGGCTGCATGGGCAGCAGCCGACAACCGGCCGCGGGCGCCCGGCCGCGACACGGCGCGTCGATGTCGACTGGCAGCAGGCTCAGATCCCGCCGACGTGGCGCCGGCTGCGTGGGCAGCAGCCGGGTTACAGCCGGACGACACACATAAGAGGGAGTACAGCGCCGACAACCGCCACTGCGAATACCCTGCCTGCTGTAGGAGCTTCTCATATTCTCCTGATTCGTTTCCGACGGAAATCTTCGAGAGAACATTTACGCGCCTTGTGATGAATTGCCATTTGACCACAAAGGTGACTAAGAACGCCTTGGGCTATGCTACAGCGCACGTTAGTGCCGTGGTCACAGAACTGGCGATCTCTCACGCCCCTGGCAGCGGGGGACGCCGAAACAAAGGTGGCAGCAGGTCTCCACCCTGAGTCATCGAAAGTGCAAGAAAAACACGCCGGCACCTCACGCTACGTCTTCTGGTGGAACAAATGATCAATTGATAAGATACGGCCCCGCCCCAACCTAAGCAACGCATTGTATAGTTATAATCTACTCAGTATACATGTACTGCTTTTCATTAATAACTTTGAAACCTAGCGCCTGCGGCTTTCCCAAACTCTAGCATTGATGATAATTTTGCAGCTGTACAAGACACAGGTGGATGGATCACACCATGATGATTCATTTAAGTTACGGCTGGATTACCTACAAGCGGCTAGGTGAATCAGTTCATCATAGCATTGAATGTAATAGCAAAACTGTCCTTCACAGTTATTCATCGAGTTACTCTAAAAGGTCCAAAATTCTGACTTGTTCTAAATTAAGGCATTGAGCATCTAATACAGTTCCGTTTATTCAAACTGTGAGTAAAACAGAAGTATTAACTTTATTCCTCGGAGAAAAACAGAGGAAATGGAGATAACGATGTATTGATATTTTGGCAACAAATTTCGAAATGAACTGCAGAAGTGCGCCTAGGACTTCTCAAGAATAAGCCCTTCTTACCACTGCTTAGAAGAAGCGCACTTAGCACTTCTGCTATTCATAACTTTCGTCTTATCTATGTGAATAATATTCCTCGCAATTGCGGTTCACAGCTCGCGAACCACGAGTGACTATAAACTAAATTAGCGGAGCATATTTATAGCGAGGACCATGCCTACAACACCTGCCACATGTGGCAAGCAATTTCTCGCAACTGCTCAAGGAGCAACGTGATTTGTGCCAACCGCCTCACATCGTATTTTTTTATATCCGCGAGAGGGATGGAGCTTGTTAGGTAGGCACTTTAGATAGCCG